GAACCATTTAGCCTTCTAGTAGCGTTCGACTAGGACATTTCACTACCGGATTATTGCTCAGCTCTTCGGTTGTATACGACCAATTCTCTCCAAAGCTGAAAACACAACGGTCGACTGTTCCATCACCTGTTGATAGCGTCTGTTCGAATGGACAAAGAATTTCGAATTGCTCAAAACTAAGACATTTATCAATGCTGGCATACGTCAGACTATGTATGGGCTTATTTGTGACAAAATAAGCGTCGTCTTAGCTTGCACGCTTATACAGTTTGCAATTATTTTTATTGTGACTTTCGCTGGAGTGGAAAGAACGATAATCGTGGCTGGCCCTTTGAATCAGTCAGTACGTTTGAACGAAAATAAAAGCAAAACAGTCGGTCTGTTTTCACTTATATAGTTTGCTTTTCTTAGATGAAAACATGCTTTAGTAAGCAGGGCGGCGGGCAGCACTGAGAAGTGTTCGTTCTAATTTACTGAAGAGCGGGGCAAAGTGATTGCAAAATACTTTCTTTATAAGTAAATACACAAGGCCATCTTGAGACGACGTTTTGCCTCGCCTCTTCTAGGACAAGGCGAATCGAATTCATCATCGTAAACGGATTGCCTTTCAGAATCACGTCTCGTTAGCACCAGCCCTGTAAGGAGAAGTGTGTTAACAATCGACATTTTTTCTACATAGGTTACGGCCTAAGTAACTCCGTAAACAACAAATCTTTAGTTGATATCTATTACGAGACATTACCGACGCTCTAAGAAGGCTTGGCGAGCCTTGTTTTTAGCATTCGAGGTCATACATAACGTGCTCGAACAACACGCTTATACCGGTCGTAGTCGACCTTTCATGTCGATTTTTGACCGCCAAGAAGAAAAGCTTCGACTATTTCTATTTTCCCGTCTAGGACGCTTTCAATGTTGGTGAAATGGCGTATTTCTCGACGATTTTTTTTCTAATTTACCGCTAACTTTAATCTTAATTTTCTTTTTATCGTCCTACATACATTTAGTTTTTGCACGGCTCGAAAAAAAAGTGCAGACATACTCTCCGACCTTTGTAGTCAGGTCAGTCCTGACCAATACTGATTGAGCCCAATGAAGATCGTTGCAGTATTACCTAACAAACGGACGCATAATAAACTTTTTTTTTGGTATCAACGCTAAGCAATCGCATTTTTGGCAATTGGCGATTTGCTTGAGCATGTTGTTTGTTGCTGTCTAGAACGGTAGCTGACGCTGTTGTAAAACATAATTCCAGTACACTCCTTCGATTTGCCGTCTTTTGTACAGACTCGATGCGACCAAATATTGGCGTGCCTTCATACAGATTCGCTTGAGCCACGTACTATTTGTTCAATTTATATGCCAAATGCAGAAATTATGGAGAAAACTACGAGGCTCCAGGGTTCAAGCAGTGGAACATTTCGAAAATCAAAGTTGACGTGTTAAAGCTGTATGTGTTGAACGTACCGATTTGTTTTACCACTTGTCGCTTCTTCTGGATCTTCAGTAATTGTCCGTAGTTTATTAAAATTGTGTCACATTTCAAAAACGTAGTCGTACATACATATAAACAAATGGGAGTTTTTCATGGAAATTCACCCAAGGTGCCGTGACTAATTCCACTTGGAAATCAGCTGGTTAGTATACCTAGTCGTGCGAGAGCGGATACTGCTCTGAGTTTCGCGTAGAATTCTACGAACTGTTACGACTGACTTGACGCTCTGAAATTCGGCGGCCAACCTTCACACCTGTCATCAGTTTATGATACTTTCTTAGGTAACGTAAAACCTGCTCCTGGAAAAAACCGAGCAAGTCCTGTTTCATAACGTCTATCAGGTCGAGCTAATATGATCCGACGGGCATATGGTAACTGACTAAACCGCAAACAACGATCAAATGAACGAAGACAAACATTGAACGTATGGGAATCAAAGTAGTCGTCAAAAATCGTAGATATCTGGGACCAGCGTTCATAAGGATCACACGGTCATTTAGCTTACTATAATAGCTCCGACCAATCTGGGCACACTCCGACAACCTACTTGAAGGGGTTCTAAGCCTCTCAGTCCAATTTAACGTCGGTGTTTGTTTAAACTTTAGACCTGTCACAAAACGCTTGTCTCTTATAGTGCTCTTTATTACATTGTCTCACTTAGTTGTTCTACAGAAAATTGCGTTCCTCAGATCGATCAAAAACCTATTCTTGCAGAGGTCGTATCGACCACTCGGTCAATGAACCTGCTGACATTAATGTGGTTCCTTTCCTTTCCCAGGACGAAAGGAACTAAACACAGAAGGCTACGCTCAAAGGCACTCGGCTGGTTATAGCAAAGCTGACTCAGCGCTCACACCTGACGTCCTACAGGAGATCGATAACTACCGGCTGCGCTCCGTTGCTGAACTGAAGGGAAAAGCAAATGTAGCGCTTAGTCAGATCGCATGCACTTCATCGACTGTTGGGACCTCTTAAAGGCTTTGGACATTTTCGGTAGCGTTGCCTTCAGTCGTATTCTCTCCGTAATTTTTTTCGTCTGCACGCTGTCGCGTTTCGTTCGACCGGCTGTTAGGCAGGTTTTCTAACGACACCGCTTTACGTCAACCTGCCTGTTGGCCAAGCAAATTTTGGCGCCAAGGAAACTCATCCATTTTGACCACGATTTCTGATTGGACTTTAGCTACATACAGTATTTACTTTACTGTCACGTCAGACCAGAAGTTTTGCCTGTTCATAGACGTTTAAGAGACGCCCTTGAGCTCCAAAAGTCAGAGCGTTGTTCCTATAGGATGGGAAAGTACAGGTTGCAATTGGTAATATATTCTGATTGTGTCTAAGCAGTCGATCAACCCGAGCGATAAAATGTCGAAACAAAGATGGTTGCAATTAGCGTAGTTTATCTTTTTTGCTTAGCTTACCATTACCAGCTCTGGTTATCTAAGCTCCGTCTCTACAAGTTACTTTATATTTTTATTATATTTAAGTTACTATGAGTAAACTCTTACAGATAACTTGGACAACATTTGCGCATAGGTTTAATGAACAGTTAATCCGCCTTTATTCTGTAGATACTGAGCTAATTGTAGGGTTTCTTCAGAGAGCTTCATTAGGCTATTGCTGATTGGCTGCCACTGATTCGTAATCTCTATTTGTCGAGAGAAAAGTCTCTCACTATGATCCTATTAGTTTAGTGTTAGTCGGGCGAACCTCTGACAAGAAAGATCATTAGATCGCTTGGGCCAGTTATGCTAATAAGCGTCAAGCAAAAAAAAGTGGCTCCGTCTCCACAATCTAGAATATATTTTATAAATTGTTTGGAACTTCAGAGGTCAAACAGTACGGGTTATTGTGTATATTGATCATCTCTTACAATCACATGACTACAAACAACTATTGAAAGGCGTTCCGTGTACAACTACTGCGTGATCTTGGCGTGCTTTTTTAGCCATTGAAGCTTTTTTGCTATTCTTCAATCAAACTTATGTTGTCCGTAATAGAATACTTCATCCATGGATCTCAAGTTCCTTGTTGGAAGTTTAATTGCTGTGTCGACAAGTGTCTTAATTGAAGTGGAACGTATTGATACTTTCACGTACCTATTTTTAGTTGTGGGACTCTTCTAATTGATTAGCGGTACAGAATCGCAGTATACATATATTTCATAAAAAGTTACTGAAATATATATAATGTTTATGTCAGCTGCTTATCATCAGTTAGTTGCAACCAGAACTTCAATTGCCAATAACGCTGGACTGAAACAACTAAAGGTTGTGTAGTATATGCTATTAATGGCAAAGGCCAAGTATGGACGTTCAATACATTATTGAACTTCATGCTGGTATCAAAATAGTCAAAGTGTCTTTCCAAACCAATGTATGTATTTTTCGGAAGCCTTAGACTTATACTATCTTACATAGTGATCACACTGTTTGATGTTTATAATCTTATAATCCCACAATAAACAGTCGACTTCAACAATGCTACTAAGCGGAAGAGCTATCTACATAAGCGCCACTCTAAACTACCTGTGTGATTCGAAATGAGTTTTTTTTTTTTATAGTCCTTTCCTAGGCGAGTTGCGCTAAGATCTCACATCGCTGACTGTCACATTTTGCTCCTGCAGGTCGTTAGAGACTCGCTTTTTCGTTCGTGTCTCCTTAAGATGAACTGGCGACAGCGTTCACTTCGGCCACGTGGTTTATCGCCGTCAACCAACGCGAACATCCCAAGTCTGCCCCCAACTCTTAGCATCGGTCCTTCGCGTCGTTCCTCTCTACTTGATCTACCTCCCAAGATCACCCCCGATAGTCAACGCCAAAAACAAGTAGGGTGCTTTAGCAAAAGAACGTTGCCTTAGTTCTTAGCGAAAGCTATACGTGGCCATCTTGATTGTCTGCGTTAATTTAGCGTTCGCCATCAGTTAACCACGTACCATTCTAAAAATATCAGAAAACTACAGAGTAATTATGTCCAATATAATTTCCTACTATATAATAAATAACGAGTATGTTTAGTACCTGACGAACAGTACTATAAAATGGTGATGAACACGCAAGATCAATCAGATACGCGCATATACTCAGGCAGGTGCGCATAACAGCTCGGACTGATCAACTTTGTCTGTTTTTGATAATTCCCTAACCTCAAGTGAGATGCGAGAGTGTACGTCTTGTACTTGTTATGGTACAGCGGTGCATTGCAGGACATATTTGTAATCCCGTAGCGTACTGGCCACGGTCGAAGGTTTACAATCTAGTTAAACTCACTAAATCCCAACAATTCGAGTCTGCTTACCGTTCAGACTAGCTCTATGCTATCAGCTCTGATTAGCTAACACTGGCTGGGTCCGTTCCTCATACTAGTGAGTGTAAGTAGGGTGTATCTCCGGTGCGCACCTCTCGACCATGAAGCACCCCTATTTCGATCGAACAGCTCTAACCCGCATTGTGTACCAAACCTCCTCGGTAAGTCCCGCCTTCCCTACGAACCAATGACGTCACAAACCCTCTCTCAGTTTTGACTACCAAAGTCCTTTATAAGCGCCAGCAGAGCTCAACGGCCCAGAATTCGGTACGCTCAACGGTTCGTACAACAAAGTGATCGCATCACACCAAGAGTTCAGGCTGTTAACGTTAGTGGATTACAACTGGCTACCCTAGGATACTCTAAGCGACGGACTTCCCGTACCATCATGCCAACCATACTCGTTCGTAGCGCTGAACCGACCAAGATGACTTTCCGACGTGTACTACCTGTCAGTAGGCCGTCTGGTTTATTGAAAAAAACTGCTGGGCCTCAACGTTGTTTGTTCGGTGTACCTGATCACCAGGAATCAATCCGTGTTGCACGCAATGAAATAAAGGTCGAGCAACAGAGACTTACGAGCAAGTACAACTTTGACTTCGAGAACGATGCACCGTTGCCCGGCGAGTACAAATACGAAAAGATCGACCGGTCGACGGAAGCTATCGAAAGTCGCCTTCATGAAGTCCTTCTCGTTGCGGAAAAGGAAAATCTAAACGTCGGTACGTCCAACAGTGGCGGTACACAGAGATCCATTACTGGTAAGTACTGTGCGATAAATCGCATCCCTCCTCATATCTTTCCCCAATGTTTCTATATTCCTTTTTGCTTTTTTATGTAAGTTCTATAATGCGTGCCTTATAACGTCTCCCCGGCTTCTCGTGTCGAGGATAAAATGTGTAAGCAAAGCTCACGCACAATTAGCATGAACGCGACTCACCGCTTACTCAGCTACAATATGGTCCATCGACCGTTAGTCGAAGACTGTATTTGTGCCTTGTACGCTTCTCTTTCGTCCCGTTGGTTCTCGGTTCTCCTGAGTGAATCGGCAGTTAGCAGCTGCGGGCTTCTTTCAACGGTCGCTTTTCAACGGTCGTTTTCGCAGACTCATTGTTGAATCGAACCAGAACTCTAGACATCATCTGTATCGTTACCCAGCACTGCGTTCTATATCTATATTTATTGCTGTGTGTACATATGTATGCGAATGATTCTAACCAGCTGTTCCTTCTCTTCTTGTAGATTTTTACATTGTATCCCGCAAACGTTCCTGTCCACCCGAGTCACCCAAGGTGGCAAAGGCGATGAACGCTAGCACTTCAACGACGACCACGTTACCTGATTCTGAATCAAGAAGACTCACACTCACTGAGATCTGCGAGTGATCTACAACCTAGTGAATGAACCAGTATAGCGCAACACAGCAGCCACAGACCCGCGCTGTTGTATGGATTCAGTATTAACAACTGTCTCTGATCAAGGCGTTGCACAAAAAACCATAAGTCGTGATCGTCCCGGTGATAACTATGTCGGCGTTTGCTTGTACCTCTTCAGCACACTCGACATCAAATGTACACATGTATATCAGATTTTAGAGAGATATGATTAAACAGGGAGGTTCGTGGCCTGAAGTCATATGACGGCCCTGCTGTATATTTCACACACAAAAAAATGTATAAGATGTAATATTATTTCCGTTAGTTCACGCAGATGAGATTAGAAATGTTTACTGCTGTCGTCTTTTGGCACCGCGAAAAATTCAACATTCCGCTATGAACCAACAAGTATGAATCGGAAAAAGACCAGCATGACAGGACAACAGCGTCGATACGTCGCAGAGCTTTAATCTACGTGGCAATTTAACATAAACGAAAGAAGATAGAGTTTGAGAACGAGACGAAAACACAGTATAAAAAAATAAAAAACTAACTACCTAAGACGAAATAAAGGAGAATATTTTAATGAAGTGTCATTGTTTTTACTGGAGGTACGGGGACGTATGGTAAGAGTGTTTAGGTTTAGATTGATTTATTGATACTTCATTAAATGAAGTGTGCTCGCATAACTCGCATAAATTTTTCAATATTTTGACTACGTAAACCATGTTGTTTGTATAGTCTTTTGCGTCTTGGTACAGTTGTTCTTCACGAAGTAGATTGAAGAAATGTTGAATTTTTGGTGTTCGTTTGACGTGGGAAGGTCACATATCTTTGTGAACTATTATGGAAAGGTACTCCTTAATTAGCATTAACGCAAACCTATTCTAAAGAGATATAAAAAAGCTCGAATAATGAACAAGTCCACTACCCATTCAATATGAACATTTGATTAATTTTAAGATCTCCAATACGGTGAGGACCTTGAGGACAGTAATTTTGAATGGAATGAAGGATCCCAGCGCCGATGTCCCAACGATGCTAGTAATACCCGTGAGACGGTAGGGGTCAATTTCGACGATACGTACTTCTCGTCATCTCCAGCTGTGTCGTATAGCTGACGTGCTCAGACCGAAAACTTTAAAGTGTGAGAAACACAACATATCTGGTCTATAGAATGAAAAATCTAGCTTAGCTTCAGATTTTTCTCACATGTAACATATTTATTTTTTAAATTTCAAGACACGTGAAGTGGCCCAGCTTTGAAACCAGACATATAAGCACCTCAATAGGCACGAAAGCCAGCCTTACTGAGGAAATGCTTAGAGACGATGCTAGACTTAACATTCAGAACCTTCACTTTGGGTTATATTCATATACTTATAACATATATTCTACTAGGATCCCCTGTATTCCTTAGGATAACGGAAACGAATGAATAAAAAAAAATTGTCCTAAAGTTAACCATTTCAGCTCAATATCATAAGACCTATATGAAGCGGTTGTGTGTGTATGTTATACATGGTGACGCGAAAAATTGCATTTCATTGTAGAATTCACTGATGCAATAAACAACTACGATAACGCTCATGCTGACCCAACTTTTGAAAGGAAGTGTCTAACAGAGAGCGAGTCGGTCAGAACCCAACGGTCGCGAGAGCTTTAAACGCTTCTTTTAAGCCTTGGACAACAGCTGCTCTTCAGTAACATGGGTCAACTACCCTGTTTCAGACCCCTCTCATGACAGTTCTTTTAGATTTACAAAGCTCAAATATCGAAGAGCTTCGCCTGACCTTATGGTGGCCTGCGTCACCTCATCGTGTATTCGCCCTGAGGCATAGTTGCAGGCCGGGTGTTTAACCGACTTCGAACCCATATAGTATTCTTGACAAGAGCCAATCGAACATCGCCTCACTCGCTTTCCGGTTCTGCTGTGCTTTAAATCATATTGTACACGAATACAGACATGCATCCGGATCCTAAAGGCTGATTCAAAACAGTTTCTTGACCCTTGTCCTACTCTAGAAGGTCTACTTGCAAACAGTCATGAGTCATCATACATCGCATACAAGTAGGCGGCCATCTTTCTACGGGTTAGGTAATAATAAGAAGCGTCAGAAGCCCAATCAAACAAGGGTCATGAATTGATTACAATCTACAAGGGAACCAATAGAAATAAGGGCATCTAAGACAAAGTAGGCAAACCACCTATTCATTTGTTAATTACATACGTGTTTTGTTGTTTTTAACATGTAACCCAGATCTGACAAAAGTTATAGTGTATAAGGCAAAATATAAAACGTTGTTTATCCCCGACATGTTTAATAACTAGGTTTTGTCTTAGACTGAGAACTTCAATTCACTTCTGAGAGAATCAGTCTAATTATGAAAATTAAAAAAAATTACTCTTTGTCTACATTGTCTATAAAAAAAGCTTCGTCTAAGTACAGTATCAAATGTACTATTTTGTTTTAAGCTCTTATAGTATCGGCGATTTGTACTGTCGTTATTTTCGAAGATGTACATTTGTAGGTTAAGTAATATAACAAACATTTATTAGAATTCATTGGCTTGTTTGTCGACAGGTGTGCATCGCATTGGTATATCAGATTTGATGCACCTAATAAACGGTTATGTTTTAATTGGGCATTGAACTCGTTAACTTCTCCGTATCAGAGCCATATGAAGATAATATTAAACGCAACAAACCACAGCTGCATGTTCGGTATTGTCCTCAACGTTTTCTTGATGATTGGCTACATCCGATTCCCTAACCTTGACTTCAGCTAGCGTATTTTGCGCTAATATCCGGTAGCCGATGATGGCCGGCCGAGACCGATCCGAAAGAATAGTCCAAGGAGGTGTTTCTCCCGATTGGGTTTCGGCGTGTGCAACTCAGTTCTGACAGTTGGGGCGGTACTTTTCTACAGTCGAACCCAGCGAGCCAGTTCTTTCGTACCAACCGCCATCAGCCGCAATAACAGTAGCCACTTCTGATTCAGGACCGGTAGCTATACGAATGGTAGAGGGAGCGGCGGCAGTAGAAAATCTTTCAGCACATTTCCTCTGTGATCGGCATTTCGCTCTTTTTTTGATAGCTATTACGAATATCGATGGATTTCACCCGGACGTTGGTCGTCTACTGACGGATATGAGAATAAAAGCCTCGTCCGAGACTGTTAACCGCAGGTTGTTACTATTGGACTTGCTCAGTAGAGGCTACCCTTAACGTTGGCGGAACGATCAAACAAGCGACTGGATAAAACGTATTTTTTGTTTTGTACAGCTTTTTCCTCTAAAGAATACTATGACGCTACAACGGATCGCAATCGTTGACTGAAAGTGTCTCGCTTTTTACATCCCTCAGAACTCTATCGAAGTACCGCTGTACGGTGGTCAGTTAATCCAGCGATCGACAAAGAAGACGGGAGATAAACACGCTTCCTCGCTTTAACTCAACGAACGAATAGTCACAACACGAAGGTACTTCACAGAGCTGTCGCCATCAAGCCCTCCGCTGAGACGAACCCGCACAGAGATGTACCGGTAGTTTATCAGTAAAGCAAGGTGATATACAGTGGAACATGGATCTTGTACGAGCGATCCTATGCACAAAGTACAGTTATTGACAACTTATACTAGGTGCAGTTGTCTTGATTTTATAGTAGATTTAGTGTGAGCAGGTCAATTACTCGTAAATTTGGCTGAATTTTTTCGTACCATGGGGCTCCAGCCGGCCTTTTGTTATTATATGCACGTCGCGTAATGCTTGCCGGTAAGACTCCCGGGACGTAAAGGCCGGATAGATTAGAGCCGCCACCCGGAAAAGCGCTGGTTGTTGCTGCGTTACCTTGAATCAACATTCTTTCCGTCAATGAAAAAAAATGTCGTTTTTTGATGCAGATTAAAGAAGTGCCGCTTGCGTTCTCTTGATATCTTCCGTTAACGTTCAGGAACGCAGCAGGCTCAGTCGGGCCCTTAAATAGCCGCGACCGTTGAGAAGACCTTGAACGCGGTAGCAAAACAAACAAGATCGATAACATACAATGACCGAAACGGTGTATATATATAGGACGCTCGGCGCTATGATAGTTTAACATATACAAAAACTAGACGCTGCACTATAGGGAGATACAACGGTTATTTTATAATGACCGCTGGAAATACTTCAATTTTTTCCACCTGGCCGACAAAAGCAGGCTTCAACTAAAGAAATTTTCAATACATACACGCAGTACTCGAATCGCTAGTTGAATGTGGACGGTTCATATTTAATAGCAACCACAGGAAACAGCCCCTACGTAAAAAAAGCTATTTCTGCTGCAAAGTTCCTGGCAAGTTAGCAGGCCAAACTTTCCACTTACGTTTCACATATCGTTTTTTCCTCTGATGTAGAATAGATTTAGACTCCTAATACAAAGGTGCTTTATATCATACATATTAATAGAGAGACACAAAACATTAAAAAAAAATCATTAGGACTATTCGAATTTATATTATCGGATATTACGTATGAATTTACTACAGAAATAGTGACTACACCATATCATTGGTTCATTAGACCGTCCAATAGTTTTAAGCTTTCTGGATTGTAAAGAGACTAGGTAGCTTGTTTATACATTGGGTCGATGCGTCTTCAAATGCTATCGATAGAAAAATACTCTAATCCAGATATGCGCTGTTATATCGTGGGAGATTAGAACAAATACAAAGAAAAATCAATAGATAACTTGAACGTATCGAGACATTAAATAAATAATGAGAGTCATTTACATTAACTAAGAATTGATACAGGATGGACTAGTTCACGCCAGCTAACTAGAATCTGTTAGACGTGAATCGTCTTCGTGCTAGTTCTTCTATTGACAAGCAGACGTCTCTCTCTATTCACCTGGCCAGTTTGATAGGTTACGTGCTTCGGGCTACCTGGCAGTTTCACACGAATGAGGTCAAGCACGGTGTATCCTCAAAACAGGCCAAACTAGTTTTGAAGCAGTGTCATAAGGAAGTGGTCGTGTGTTTTTGCTCTGTCTCCGTGACCATCTCACAGCTCTCAGCCCTTATTGAACCGGTTCTGCGGTTTGAATAAGTTGGCTGCACTGAGAATGTCCGTCTATCAGCCTTTAACTAGTGAGCAAGTTACACATGTTCTGGCATGCGAATTGAAGTGTCCTTGCTTTATGGGAACGACACAAACCTATGTCCTTTACACTGAAAAAAAAAATAGGACAAGAGTACACCCTAAACTCGGTCGGTAGGCCGCAAAGGAGGGAAATGGTATGTTATAAAAAAAAACATTAAAAACACATTTTCGTGTCGAAGGCAGGTATGTTAGTTTGTTTAGTCTAGAAGAAGAAGACTTGTGTACCGATTATAGAAAAAATAAAAAAAAGCCAGAATAAAAACATATTGCTAAAACACGACTAACATAGACTTATAAGTATGATCGATTAGTAATGTATCTCATCCTTCATAGACGATTTAATTGCAACAAAATGATGTGAAGTACGTTAATGTTTTAAGGAGATTGTCATAGCATTCATCTTACCTAAGTAAAAGCCGCCTTCAGC